GTGTGTGTGTGTATGCATTTTTGTATTGGTGTCGTATTGTGGCACTTTCACCTGTTCAGGGAGCAAGGTTTCCAAATGCTGAATACAAACCCATTATTTTAGTAGGCAACTTTTCCATCAAACTGTACACTATCTTTTTTTTCAGAGAAATGCCACAAACATCTCGTGTACTCTTATTAAATGCACAATCAGGAAAAGTTTTTTTTCAAGTTACTTTTATCTAGAACATATTTTTCTCAACGATATCCGTCACCAGTCCTTTAAAACTCTCTATTCAGAAACGATTCACATTTTTGGAGGCAGTTTATAGACGACAGTAGCTCTGTGAGTAGCCCTGTTTATGTAAGGAGGAACGTTGAGTTGCATTGCACTTTTTATTTACGTAATCACTTGTTTTTCGCTTTGTTGCTGAAGTAAGTGAGGCGAGTTTGTTAAACACTTAATTTGTTAGAAAAGAATGCTTGTAAATCTCCAGGGGATTGAGCCAGTTCCTTAAGAGCAAGCAGACTATCCCGTCTTCTTGCTATCCTTAAGAGCAGACTATCACATCTTCTTGCTGTCCTTAAGAGCAGACTATCCCGTCTTCTTGCTATCCTTAAGAGCAGACTATCCCGTCTTCTTGCTATCCTTAAGAGCAGACTATCACATCTTCTTGCTATCCTTAAGAGCAGACTATCCCGTCTTCTTGCTATCCTTAAGAGCAGACTATCACATCTTCTTGCTATCCTTAAGAGCAGACTATCACATCTTCTTGCTGTCCTTAAGAGCAGACTATCCCGTCTTCTTGCTATCCTTAAGAGCAGACTATCCCGTCTTCTTGCTATCCTTAAGAGCAGACTATCCCGTCTTCTTGCTGTCCTTAAGAGCAGACTATCACATCTTCTTGCTGTCCTTAAGAGCAGACTATCCCATCATCTTGCTGTCTTCGACTTATACAACCTTCGTCATAGATGAAGAGAACATTCGTCGCTCCCAGTCCATAATTTGTTGCTCCCTTTGTAAGAGTTATCCTTATGACGAGGCTTTTTCGACACTTCTATGTGTTGACTGAGCTATGTCAGCGGTATATGGCTTCTGAGATGATCTAATGTCGACCCTACATCCGGTTTTGAAATTGTATTCAGCTTACTCTTCTATGAGAGAGAGAGAGAGAGAGAGAGGGAGAGGGAGAGGGTGAGAGAGAGAGAGAGAGAGAGAGAGAGAGAGAGAGAGAGAGAGAGAGAGAGAGAGAGAGAGAGAGAGAGAGAGAGAGAGAGAGAGAGAGAGATAGAGAAAGAGATATATAGATAGATAGAGAGAGAGAGAGAGAGAGAGAGAGAGAGAGAGAGAGAGAGAGAGAGAGAGAGAGAAAGAGATATATAGATAGATAGATAGATAGATAGATAGAGAGAGAGAGAGAGAGAGAGAGAGAGAGAGAAAGAGATATATAGATAGATAGATAGATAGAGAGAGAGAGAGAGAGAGAGAGAGAGAGAGAGAGAGAGAGAGAGAGAGAGAGAAAGATAGAGATAGAGAAAGAGATATATAGATAGATAGATAGATAGATAGATAGATAGAGAGAGAGAGAGAGAGAGAGAGAGAGAGAGAGAGCGAGGGCGAGAGCGAAACGGAACCTTCGTATCTTCCTCTATTGTTGGTAAATGCTGATTGCCGGTAGTTTCCTTGGAGACTATACAACAATTTACTAACTTCACTTTTTTCGTGCACCGCAGATAAATCCTAAATGTCTTGCAACTTGTGACGTGAAGAAAATAACAGCGTCCTCCAACCATTCTGTGGACATCTGTTGATGTGAATCTACATGCAGACTTAAAGCACGACAATGCTTAGGTTGGTACGAAGGCCTACAGAGTGTTTTTGATCGTAAGTTTACTCCAATAACGGTTGTTTGTAAGGACACTGACCAGGGAGCAGACAGAGGGATGAGGTAGGATTTACTTCGCATCCCTTAAGGCTGCGTTTCCCTTGTGTAACATCCAGGACTTGGGCGGAGACAACGGAAGGGAAAAACATTAATGAATCAGCTTAAAAAATATATATAGACTCATAGGCCCCTGATCCACATATTATTTAGCTTAACTGCGACGGAAGGGGTCAGAGTCAGCAAAGGTAATTAACGAGTGACACGCACTTACGGGAACCAAATACACGAGCACCTGAAGGAATGGTCAAAGCCAAGCGAGAAACCAGAACCTATGTGTCTTTCCGTCTATCCCTCTCCACCTCCTTTCTTCTTCGTTCGTATCTCTTCCTCTTTCCCTCCCTCTTTCTCTTACGGTCATTAGAGATTTGGCGGACATAATTGGATATAGACAGGGTTTTTTTGTTTATTTTTTTATGGCTGGGTGGTAAAGGTTAAGTAGTCACTAGCAGGCTACTTATTCTAAGCTTTATGACAAACTGGTAAAGTGTGTGAGTAGAGTGAAAGAGTTTTCAGGTCACGACCGCAAGTCACGAGGCCAGGTCACGAGGCCAGGTCAAAAGGGCCGATTACAAAAAG